CTCTTAACTAACTAGCATTAGTGATGAGGTAAACTTTGGTATGATGTTTTTCCAAGACAACAGATTGGTGTGAACCCAGATAAGATTTTCTCGCTTATTTACTTTACAGGTCTCGCATGTCTTAAGAATCAGTATGTAAAATATTTACCTGGAAGAGTGTCTGTGAAAAAGCAAGGTTATGAATCTCGTTTCTTGCAGGGTTTACACAAGGAGACGTTGGATTAGCAATGGGAAGGCTTTACGGGAACGACTTCAGCCAGACTACAATCTCTCGATTTGAAGCCCTCAACCTCAGCTTCAAAAACATGTGCAAACTTAAACCTCTTCTGCAGAGATGGCTAGAGGATGCCGAAAATTCCCTCAATAATAGTTCTCTTATGTTTGGGAACGAGCCATTCACATCAGAAAGAATTGGACGTCGACGAAAGAAACGAACTAGCATCGATATGAATATGCGACAAGCTTTAGAAAATGCCTTTAAGGAAAACCCAAAACCTACCTCAGAAGATATTCTTCAGTTAGCTACCTCGTTGTGTATGCCGAAAGAGGTTGTCAGGGTTTGGTTTTGTAATAGAAGGCAGAAGAGGAAGAGAATAACACTGCCTTCTCCAATGAACACGTCTTTCCCTTCTAGTGTCATGTCATTCCAACTTGTTCATTCACCATCTCCAAGCACATCTTCTAACAAAGGTCTTCGGGTACCCGACTTCCATGCTTTCACAGTAACTTCGGCTTCCTCGTTAGGTGGCTCTGCTATTGACAGAGAGTAGTCTGAAAACAAAATGATACAATTTTAAAGTTACATCCAGAGGAGTTTTTCTATTTGTTTCATGTACTTTGCAGAAACTGTACAGTAAACAGTTTGTGTTGGAATGAAAAAGTAATGGTTCCAGTGTCAGAGAACAACAGAATGAATATACAAAAGTACAATCAAAACAAGGCTTAAGTTCATGACGTACTTCGAAAGAACGTGTATATAGTCGTTAAAAGTTTGTTTCCAGAAGACTCGGCGATCATCGACAATGATATATAGATAAGATACCACATTTATAAACTCCGTTCTCTCCTTTTGTTGTACGTCCTTCAGTCTCTCAAAGAAACAGTGAAAATTTTAACTATTGCTCTAGTTAAAGCACTCTGTAGGGTTTAATATAAAGGCCCCGTTTTCATTACTTAGATCTGAAAATACTTTAGGTATTTTTACAGTATACGACTATCCTCTGTTATTTATTCATAGTTATTTAGAGGACTAGCTGGTAAATTGGTAATTTCTTACTAGAATGTGTTGTTGAGCACAAAGATACACAATGAGCTATATGGATTCAGTCAACCGCGGGTATCGAAAACTGAATTTTAGAGTTATAAGCTCTCAGACTTGCCGCTGAGCCGGGGAACATTCAAAAGCAACTGCCATTTGTAAGGGTTAAAGGTCACGTATTGTTATACTGAACCACGTTGTTGTAGTACAAAATTATGTTGAAGGAGCTCGACCAATTGGAATGGGGCCCACTATAGTCGGTATTTCTTCAAACCCCCCTATTTTACGTCTTTCGTGCCAGCCTCGTTACAGCTGACAAGATGTTAGTTTGTTTTTAAACACAAAGCTACATAGCAGGTATCGAAACGCGAATTTAAAATGTTGAAAGTAGGGGACTGCCAAAACGTATCAGAGCTGTTATTATTGATGATTAAGCGGTTGTGATGTAAACATTTACACCGATGTTTTCCAGATACGATAGAACTGAATGTACAAAGTTACTATATTACATCTTATATAAACGATTCTCAGTGTCTTAAAGTTAGGTTGTCGTCTTCTGGGATTGATATTAAAATTTAATCAACTTAACATTTTAACATCACATCGGGGCTATGCGTGTGTGATAAGTATTTTTTTTAGTGTACACGAGTCGTACCTAAAGTAACAAGTGTACAACTTGAGCTGTATCAATGTTTTAAAGGTGTACTAGCATCGTGTATCGATGTTATATATTAAAACCGAGGCCAATTATAAACGGATAAGTTATTCAATCTACCTCATTAAATAACTTTGCTATAAAATGATAAATATTCAAATAGTCGTTCATATTATATTAGTGATTAATGTTAAGACTTGTGCAGTTATTTTCATCCTGTTATATAGGATTTGTTGAGGCATTCATTCTGAAATAAATGCTGGTTACAATGAGCTAGGAATTCCACAGATTTCGGGAGTGTAACATTATGACGTACGAAACACTAGCGTTAAAAAATAGGATATGCAGGCAAAGAACAGAAGTGTTCGTTACTATTCGCCATCTGAAAATAATTTAGGCTTACGAGTATTTTCTCAAAACTTAAAATTAAATCTTAAGAAAAATTAATGAATGTTTAGATGAAAATGGAACCCATGGAGTGACTTATTTAAATATCTTTTTTGTTCCTCTTCAGCTCTTATATTTTCCATCCCTATACATCAACAGTATTATATTTTACAAACTAGTGTGCGTAGTTATAAGTGTGATGTGTATTACAATCCAAAACCGACGTATTACCAACTATGATAAACCAGTATTCCTCATGATCTTATTCATTTGAATAATATTAGTGATAACCTAACCCTGCTCGTTAAATTCGTGCTCTTTTGATCACTTTCAATAGATAAGATATTTAACCAAACATTTTGGTGACTGCGAGAAAAAATCTAAATATTAATTTGATATAAAACGTTTGTTTTGAAATAGGCATAGTTAGGTTAAGATCTACATTTTGTAACCACGTACAAAAACTCTAGACCATTTTTTAACTATGTATTAGCATCGGATAGAAAATAAAGTTAAATTTAATACGTTTTTATATTTTTGAAACTAACATTTACCTTCGTAACATTCCAGACTCGTTAGAATCGTTTTGGTAACAAATTTAAAGAGCAATTACAACAACAAATGATAAAACGTTTTTAAAAGAGTTCATTTACTTAAGAAGTATTATTTCTTTTAAACAAGGATGTAGATAACTAGTACCTCAGTCGATTGTATTCTTATGGTTAGTGTGAGTTATAACAAGCTAGTACTTCATATGGACTTGTTGTTGTTGAGATTTCTGATGTTTTACTGCATTCGTTAGATTTAAGGATTTTCTTCGTTCCGTTTTGCACCCATCACCGCGTGGATATTTACGATTGAAATGTGTTCACTGCAAAGCTTTTGATATCATTGGGAGAAACGTGTTTTATTTTGAAAGATCTGTATAGTTAGGTAAAGTTACATAAACCTGAAAGTTTTATCACGTTTTGTTTGCATATGAATCAAGTCAATTAAAAACGTATGCTACACCAAAGAAATGGTTGCAGTTATTAAAAATGTTTCTAAAACTTACTCGGTTTTGTGTTCAATTTTTTTTTCTTCATCGGGATTCAGTCCATGTTTTGGAATAAGGAGGGTTAGGTGTTGACATCTTCCGATGAATATTCTGGACATAACTTTAAAACCATTTTTTATCTTCAATAGAGATAATAGAAACTTAAAGTTAGAATCTATTTAATAATCAATCGATAATAGTTACGTTTGTAAGAAACAATATTTTCTAGACCATTGGGAGAGTATCGAGATTCAATAAGACGAGTCTTTAAAAAGACTTGCATTTAATTACTAGTTGTTAATTATTTAAAAACGTCATGGAGAACATTCTTTGTAACTGAATGATAATTTTGAAGTAAGAAAATTTTAAGTAACGTAAAAAAAAAACAACGTTTGAGATAAGACATAAAATTGACATTGCATTTTATCTAAGGTTAAAAATAGTTATATATTTATTATAAACCTTCCAATTCGTATTGATATTTAGATTTTTAACTAACCCTAAACACTAAATTAAATATACCAGTATGTTTAGACTAAAAAAAATTGTACTTTAAAGTTTAGAAATAAGCAAAATAACTGTTTTATAACAAAAAAGTAAATTTAAAATTAGGATGGTCGATCCGATGAAAATGTTGTCAGCAGATGGCGTGAAATTATTTAATATGTAAATTGTATCTTGTATAAATAAGCCTGATGCTGGACTTCTAAAGATAAGGCAGTCGGTGGTTTATTGACTTTGAGCAATTACACAAGCGCCTTTTAAATATTAACAAAGGGGTCGTTCCATGTAATAAATAAAATTATTAATTATGCCATAAAGGATATATAGAAAGAGATATACATATATCCCAAATTCCACCAGAGAAATTTTATTTCATATAAATTCTACTCCTGTCTCTCAGTAAAAGTACATTATTTAAGCTTTACTTTGTACAATATATGTGCGAGAATTAGGAATAAATTTACATAAATATCACATGAGATTACGTTTAAAAACAATATCATCTAACGTTCATTTTAACAGTTGTCTTAAAAGTTTAAATGAACCTTTTGTTTTCATTTTGAAGTATATTCTTTTTTTTGGCCATATAGTAACAAAATAAAAAAAATATATATTTTATTAAAAATTCAAAGCCTCCTTGAATAAAAGTTGATATTAAATTACAGATGGCGCTTTATAGAGTTTTTCTGTTTTGTTTTGTTTGTAGTAATGCACAAAGCTACACAATGGGCTATCTGTGCTCTGTCCACCACGGGTATCGATACCCGGTTTCTAGCGTTGTAAGTCCGCAGACATACCGTTGTGTCACTAGGGGGCGCTTTATAGAGTAATATTTCCTTTGTTTTAAAGAAATATTTAATGTTCAACACATCAATGTACAAGGTAAAAACAGTGAATGTTTTTAATGAACTTTGTACTAAGTATATAATTGTAGTCTTCAACTTTTTAAGGTTTATATCTTATTATACACGGTTTACGTTTTAAGATATCCTTATAATTTTAATCCGGGATTATTCAATTCTATGTTATCTTGAAGCATTTTTAAAAGGTAATGAAAGATACGAAGCCAGTTTTTTTAAATTGCAACAAATTTAAATTAGTTGTGAAAGTTGAAAGGAAGAATAAAATAAATTTAATTATTAGTTGCAATAATTACCACTAGATGGTAATAGCATCACAACTTGTTATTAGCATAATAACCTCAAAATTAGGTCACGTTACTGTAAGACCGTTATGACAACATAGTTACCTTTGAAATATTTTATTTAAATGAGTTAAATTTTAAATGAACCTCTCACAGTACTTAAACTTATAAATGTCAAACACTGGGTATATATCACAGACTACTAATATACTAATACAAGCAACAAGTACATAAGGACAACCACACTGAATTTCTTTACCTCACAGATTGTCACGTGATTCGGAGCTAAATACAGTGCCATATATAAAACTTAGCCAGTAACGTCAGATAATTTATTTAAATCGTTATGTTCGAATTATATCTAAAATCGTTCTTTTATTTAATTAACATATTTGTAACATTCTTTTGTCTAACACTTGTAAGGGGGAAAAACATTTTTTTAATAGTTTCAAAACCTCCTTTCACGTCTGTTTGTTTGTTGTTCTTTCGTAATTTTTTGTTACCTAATTGAATAAGACAACCAGCGATTTTAAAACCTTTCAGTAATCGCACATGAAGACATTGATACTGCACCGCATTGATAATATCGTATCTTTTTTTTACGTCTATAATAGTAGACCTCTTCATGTAAACAATTTACAGTAACAAGTTTAGTATATCATACTGAGTAAGTTGTGTGCAGACGTGAAGACTTACCTTATTCACTCTAGGTGATACTTGTTAAACATTGTGTATAACATTCACAGCTGGTGTAGTTGTTAAATATTGTTTACATCCCTCACAGCTGGTATATTGGACTTTTTGTTTACATCATTCACACTATCATGACCTTATTCAGTCTAGGTTATGGCTGCTAAACAATTAGGCCCGGCATGGCCAGGTGGTTAGGGTGCTTGACTCGCAATCTGAGGGGTGTGGGTTCGAATCCCCATCACAAATATGCTTGCCCTTTCAGCCGTGGTGGCATTATAAAGTGACAGTCAATCCCACTATTTGTTGATAAAAGAGTAGCCCAAGAGTTGGCGGTGGGTGGTGATGACTAGCTGCCTTCCCTTTAGTCTTACACTGCTAAATTAGGAATGGCTAGTGCAGATATCCTTTGTGCAGCTTTGCACAAAATTCAAAACCAAATAAACAAATGCTAAACAATGTGTACATCTTTCACAGCTGGTATATTGGAATTTTACATCATTCACACTATCATGACCTTATTCACTCTAGGTGATACTTGTTAAACATTGTGTATAACATTCACAGCTGGTGTATTAAATGTCACGACCTTATTAGTCAGAGACAATGGTTTCTAGACAGTGTTTATTCTCCACAGCTGGTGTATTGGTATTTTACATCATTCACACTATCATGTATCACCTATGGTTAATAAGGTCACGCTAGTGTAAATGATGTAGAAACGTTTAATATACACAATGTCTGGAAACTATTACTTAGGTTTAAGGAGTTAATGATATTCATCATGTCATTAAGTACTGTTTGTTGGGAAATGTATGTTATAACGTTGCAACAAACTGGCTATTGGAAATAACATGTTGCTGTATACGAGGTATCAACAGCTTGTCTGTATAAACAATTATTGTCAGACAGATATCGACAGCACTTTGTACGATTTACAACACTGTAAACAAAACATTTAGTGACTCAATGTCAATTAAAATTTATTGTTTTTGTTATGCTTAAACTCTCCAAACTAGTTATAGTAGGCTCTAGTGAAGGTAAACTACTTATGCTACCATTAGGCATAAATTAAGCCTTGCCTCGTTTGTTTACTTATTTTGTGGATGATCTTTAAATGTTTTGTTTAATGTCAAAAGAACACCATAAGCACCACAACAAGCATAACCCATCAGTTATGGCTAATCTGTAGAAAGCAAAGGATTTAAGAACTATAAGCCTTAAGCCTATTTAGAAACAGTTCATAAATTACAGTAGGCTTAAGCCTAATTACAAACTGTTTATAAATTACACTCGCAAACGTCACAAGCTTATAAATCACAATTAATCACCATAAATAAAAAAATAAAGCACATTGTTTGCACTACTAAAAAAAAGTTTAAGTGAATCTATAAATTTAAATTATTTCATGGACTTTAAAAAGGTTAATTGTGTTGTACTCTTGGTTTCACTCGGAGACAAAGCTCTGAGCTACTTATACCGCCCACCACGAAAAGTAATTGTTGAACATTTCGGTCATGCTAAGAGCCACTCAACAATAACATACGGTAAATCTACATTTTTATTCTTCAAGTTACGTCATATTTTGAAATGTGAATGATAGTGTGATTAATTCCTAACAGTTTAGTGTAGAATATCCTGCTTGCGAAATAAAATTTGGCATCAACATTAGTCATACATATTCTCCCGTCATTTCAAAACTGAATGTTGAGCTTTGCCTGCGTGCACAGGCTTTTCAAATGGGAGACAAACGAACGCTCAGACAGACACCACGGTTCGCAATATAAATATGAAGAATTACATATGATTTAAGCCTAACATGTTTTTAGAGTTTTAATACAAAAGATTTTGAAATTGCTTTTCGCTACAAATCTTTTATCCGATATCCTAGAATCTCTTGATTCAAAACCTGCAGTCGCAAATCAGTCAAGCCGTTTCTTCCGAAACACTCAATCCGCAACGTCCCGTGCATCATCCTATAATTTCACACCGACGAAACGTTTTCCAGGAATACAATAGAGAAGAATTTTATCAATCACAACAAGGGCTACAATGCAAGGTTTGTAATTATCTATTTTTTGTTAATAAACGTATATTTCTTCGTCTTTTCGATTCAATAAGTCTGAATGTCGATTCCGTATTAATTTGAAACTGATTACCGTTAATAAAACAGATTTTAACACATATTTTAAATACCTAAAGAACAACAACAATTGTAATCTTGCTGAGTTTCAGTCGGTAAAGAGTAACAGTTATTTCCTAAAAATAAACAATTAATACACAAAACCAATGATAAGTTTGATATCAGCATTTGGATGCTCAAAAAGTAGTTCGTCAATTTTTTTTTAAAGCATAAAGCTACACAATGAGCAATCTGTGCTGGAGCCACTACGGGTATCGAAGCTAGTTTTTTAGAGTTATAAGCATTCAGACTTATCGCCGGTTCACTAGTAGACTCAGTTGTTCCTTACTTATAACATTTGAGAGCTAAAATATTTTATTTTGATGTAGAATATTGAAACAAAAACGATACTAAAAATGATTATACGATTTATACACACAGAACCTGTTTGAATGTAGTTATAAGTTATATTATAAAAAAAAGGGGGGAATAAGTTTCTGTAAGTATTAAACTATCATTATTAGGT